GCAAGCTGCAGAGTCCTAGAGCAACCCCAGAAGAAGGGAAGAATCGAACCAGAGGTGAAGAGTTAGAATCCCCATTGGGTATCTGAAAACAGCCTGGGTAGCCTTGGGCAAGCTGCAGAGTCCTAGAGCAACCCCAGACAAAAGGAAGAATCAACCACTTCTGAGTATCCTCTAGCTGGAAAACCTTGAAAAGGGTACCCCTAAATCAGAAATGGCTTGACGGCATGGGATCATGAGATCAAATCAATGATTTATAAAAGCAAAAATGATTAAACTGAGGCTATCGTACTTTGGGAACATTAAGACAAGATTTGCCTGGAGAGGGGGAAAAACAGTAACGCCCGGAAAAATTCGATGCAGCTAGAAAAAGATGGGATGAATTCACGCAAGAAGGGAAGCCACTGCCTTTAGTTTGCAAGATGATGGAAGGAACCCTGTTAATGACAGAACCTATGGGAGGTCACTAACCTATTGGGACACCAAGAACTGGAAGTGACTTGAGAGCACTCTCTAGACAACAATATGCTCAACAGGCTTCATAGTTTTATGGGCTGTTCCTGCATTTATTGTTTTTATATGGTTGTTTTGATCTACTTCATGATGTTATTGTTGCAAGCCACGCTGGCTTCTTTTTAAAGAGTATAATAAACAAAGTATAATAAACACTTCCTGTTGGCTTTCTGAGCAGATGGAGGTGGCACAGAAAAATTACCCGTGCTCTCCAGTTCCTCCAACAAAAAAAAAGGGGGGAGTAGATTCCATACTGCTGAAAGGGGCAGTTCTGGGGGGTTCCCCCCCCCATAACAAGGACTCAAAAAATATCTGCTGGGTTGTGCCAAACACAGATTCTTCTCTAAGCCAAAGTAAGGTAGGAATAAAGAAGACAAAGCAGTTTCCTGCTGCAACCACATGGTATTCAACTTAAGCTGTAGTTGAACTTGGTCTCCTTCCGTACTTCCCTTTGTTGACTCAACTGTCAAAACTGAAACCGTAAGCTTCTAGGGATAGAGATTGGCCTTTATCATCCAGAAGGTGGAATATTAAAAAAAAAACACTAAAAACCTCTCTTCATACTTTGTCCACAACTAAGGACAACCGAGGTGGAATATTAAAAAAAAAACACACACACACCAAAAACCTGTCTTCATACTTTGTCCACAACTAAGGGCAACCGAAAAACAGAATCTAAGACAGATCTATGCAGATTGGGTGCATCTGATCCTTAATTTATGGGGTCGTTAGGAGCAAGGGAGTAGTTTTAGCCCTTTAGAAGTTTCCTTCAGGAAATATTCGTCAAGAGCAGATATTCTAAAAAAAAAACACACACACACCAAAAACCTGTCTTCATACTTTGTCCACAACTAAGGGCAACCGAAAAACAGAATCTAAGACAGATCTATGCAGATTGGGTGCATCTGATCCTTAATTTATGGGGTCGTTAGGAGCAAGGGAGTAGTTTTAGCCCTTTAGAAGTTTCCTTCAGGAAATATTCGTCAAGAGCAGATATTCTGGTAGCAAACGATAGCATTATTCTAATTTTCTCAAGATGGTGACTGTGTTAATCTGTTGCGCAGGGAGGAGGGGGATGTCCAGTGACCCTCTTAAAGACTACTGCAATTTATTCTGCACAAATTTTCATGAGCAACGAACTGCCTTCTTCACCACAAGCAAAAACAAGCCAAGAAATCTCACACCACCTTAACCCGACTCACTAAAATATTCTGTTTGGCCACAGTTTTCATGCACTAAACCCCGTGTATATTGCATTCAATCCGCTGAGCCGCAGTTGGAAAATATTTATGCCAGATATAATGTGTATCAGGCAAAATCCAAAGGGAAAAAAACCAATACTTTAAAAAGAGAGACAAAATCATGTGGCACTTTAAAGACTATTATAGTTTAACGTAAGCTTTCGCGGACACGTCCACTTTGTCAGACATAAAGAAACAGAATGGAACGAAATGTAGACGAAATATCAGATTCATATTCTAAATGTCCATTGGTTACATCATGCAATGATTGGGCCCATGTTTGTTTTACAGTCCCGTTGTAAAAATTGCTGTTTTGTTTTCTTTGGATTTTGCCTGATATGCGTGCACAGACTAATACGGCGATCTTTCCTAAAACTACAGCTATAACGTGGTAGTGTAGCCTCCTCCGTTATTATTTTAGCAAACACTTTATAGCATCCCTAGTAAGTAAGTAAGTAAGTAAGTAAGTAAGTAAGTAAGTAAGTAAGTAAGTAAGTAAGTAAGTAAGTAAGTAAGTAAGTAAGTAAGTAAGTAAGTAAGTAAGTAAGTAAGTAAGTAAGTAAATGGATATTTTCAAACTAGGAAAATTCCGTCTCCATAAAGATTTCTAGGCATCAACTGAACGAATCTATGGAAAACCAGCGACATACAGATTTTTCTTTTGGCCCCCGACTGCAATAACAAACTGTTTTACAAAGACTACATGCTTTTCTCACTGCAGGCAAGGCAGCCTTGCAGCGCTGCTGTGAAGGACAGTGACAGCAAAGTTAAAAGTTGCCTCCCTTTAACTGAAGTGGGGACAGGTGGGGTCGGGGGAGAGGAGTGGGGGGGGGAAGAAGACAAGCAGAGGG